GAGGCGTCGGCGGCGTCGGCGTCCTCTGCCGCCGCCGCCGCCGCTGCCGCCGCCGCGGCCAGGGGCCTGACGGCGGCGGCGTCCAGCTGCCCGTGGCGCAGGCGGCAGGCGCTCCAGAGGCAGCAGAGGCAGAGCGCCGCGGCCGCCCGCAGCTCCATGCTCCCGTCGGCGGCGCCCGGCGCTGCGGCAGACCCAGCTCGGCGGGCTCCGGGCGGCTCGCGCAGGGGCTTTGAGGGCTCCGCGAACTCCCCGGCCGCTTTTTAACATTGTGTGAAATCGTCGCCGACGACAGCAGCGGCGGCGGCGGCGGCGGCGGCTCTGCGGGCCCCGCGCAGCGCCCCCTGCCGAGCGGCCGCCGCTTGGCAACGGCGGCGCTGCTCGGCTGTGCGGCGCGCGAGGCGAGGCGAGGAGAGGCGAGGGAGCGCCCGGGCGGGCGGGGGGGCGAGGAGAGGAGAGGGGGAGGAAAAGAAAATCTCCCCAAACACAAACAACGCCACTGAGTCATGTATTTGCTTTTTCAAGATCGCCTTCCTTCCGCGCTTTTCTTTCTTCCTTTGCCCCTTTCCTTTCAAAGAAAACAACAACACGCTTTTTATTGAATCCGTCGGAAATAACACCACTACCGAGTTGCTGGCGAAGGCTCTCCCGCGGGGCGCTCCTCTGCCAGCTCGACGGGGAGAGCGAGGCCGGGCCAGCCCCGGGTCGCGCCTTGGCCCGGAGGCGCTGAGGACACGCGCTTGGGTCAGGAAGGGGCAGGGATGTCCGGAGAGGGCTCTCGCCCCGAGCCCGAGCGGGCGGGGGTCCTGCTGCTCGCAGGGCGGCCGAGTTGGACTCCCGCAAGAGGAAGTTGCACAGCCTGGAGCGGCTCGCCCGGACTGGCGGGGGAAATTCGTTTCCCTGCTCCTTCCCATGGAAACCATACAGAATCTCACCCAAAATGTCCAACCAGATGCAAAAAGGCAACCGCCCCACTGACAGTTTAACGTGCTCCTCGTAGTAAAGGCAGTAGCAGCAGCAAAGACGGGGGGTAGGAGTAGTCGAAGCAGGCGTGGCATCGATCTTTCTGTCCCTGTGGTTGCAGTCCTGTGGGACCAGACATGTTCACTAAGGGTGCAAAACTGTGCAGGTTTACACAGAAAAGAGTTGTACAGGTCCCAGCATTCCCCAGCCAGTTGAAGAATGCTGGGAATTGTCACCCCCCCCCCCCCCCCCCCACCGTAGGATTTGTGCCCTAAGACTGTCTGATCACACTCCCTAGGAAACATGCGTAGGGTTGTAACTTCTGAGCCCTTTAACTCCGGACGGGTTAGATCCGAGGAAACGTGCCTACAGCTGAGGTGTGTACGAGATCCGCTCCTGGTATTAACCGCAGGCGGCCACGACTCCTTGTACGGCTGTCACGGCGGGGGCGTTATTGGCACGCTGTCCCTACTACTCCCAGTAGCGTTTGCTACAACGTTCACTACTATCTATAGAGAACGGTGCCTGATTCCCTGCAGGGTGTAATCCTGTATCTGTCCTAATCAGTAATATGGGTGTGAATCACTGCGTTAATTCATACCAGCAAGCCTAAAGCGCACGAATGGGGCAGCGCTCCCTTCGCAACTTAAGAAACAACATTTTCTAGGTTGCAACCACATCTGGTGCGCCGCTGGTTGGAAGCAACTCTCACTGTGTGCACGGAGTGCCAGATCCTCGTCTTAGATCTCCTGAACGGAAGAGACGTGTTCAAAGACATTAGCCCCTCGATCCTACCCAGAATAAACCCCGTGGCCAATATACGCGCTCCTACCTGGGAGTAAGCCGCACTGAACACAAGGGGATTTACTTCTGAGCCAACACCCATGGGATCGCGCTGTCAGCTCGGTGTGGGGCTAGGCTGAGGGTCTCCTTCCCCGCCCCCATTGCAACTACTCTTCTCATAAATATACTTACGAAGGAGGAGCTCCCATTGGAGTGCAGTGGGGCATATTTCTTTTCGGGTGTATCGTTTAGGATCGGTTTTTTAAGCTGGAGTTTTATCTCTTCCCCCACAAAAATGGAGCATTTCAGAAGGAGCTCCTCGCTCCCCTCCGTCTTTGGGTTTCCAGCAGGTCCTCTGCATGTTTACTTGGAAGTAAGCGTCACCTCTGAGTTAAATGGGATTTACTCCCAAGGAAATGTGTATAGGACAATTGCAGCCTTGGATGGCTGAGGGAGGCACCGCCTCCCAATGGAAAGTCTATAGACGCCTCCAATCGTTCGACTAGTTTTAGGAGGAGATTCTCGCCTGAAGGAAGAGAAAAATCAGCAAAACAAAACCCTCTCCCCTCGATCCGTCTTCACCGACCCCAGCCCCCCTAATGTTTTCCCTTCTCTTGAGGATTTCCTTGGTAAAGGTCTGATGTTTCTTTGGATCCCGATTAAAATAACAAATATTGGCCAGGTTATTTCAGTTTCCTCAGCCCTCGGAGTGGGAATGCAGGCGTGTGGTGGGAAGAAACACGTCTTTCTTCTCCATGTCCAATAGAACAGCACCCAGGCCCTCAAGAGCGGCAGTCATTTATCCGAAGGGAATGTGATTGTGCAGCCCAAATGACCAGCCTTCTTTCTAATGTGTTGGCCAAGAAGGTATTTCAGAGTTCCTTGGTATTTCATTCTACAGGTGTTGGGTCACAGGAGGTTTTGTTGGGAGCGGGTGCTGGATGCTGCTTCTGCTGCTGTCCTTGATGGCTCATCCTGGCCAGGCAGCAAGATCTGGCTGGATTTCTGGCCACCAAAGTCATATTTGGGATGAGAACCTCTGAAAATGAAGCTAATTGAGAACAAGCAGAATTTATAAGCAGAGCTGAGGAAGAGGATTAATTTTACATCCTGCCTTTCTTCCTCTTGCAAGGAAGTCAGAGTGGGTCATGGCCATCTCTTCCTATCCATTTTATTCTCACAACAACCACCTTGTGAGGTAGGTTAGGCAGGGGGTCGGTGTCTGGCTCAAAGTCACCTAGTGAGCTTCATATAAGTGGGGGCTCTTAACATGAGGTCATAATCCTATGCATGTCAAAACAGAAAGCAAGTCATGGCTTGCTCAGCAGGCCTGGGGTGGTGCCCTGGGCGAATCAAGAGGTGTGAAAGGTTGGTTACAGGGGAGGGAACTGCACTGCAATGCAACGGAGTGGTCCCACGGAGCGATCTCTGTGGTGCTTCCTTCATTCCTTTCACTTAGTATTGCTGTACTTGTCATCCTCAGGAGCGATGCAGCCTCAGTTCTGTTTTGTTCTGCTTGGATCACTGCATAATTGACCATCCAGAACAGAATGACAGTGCCAAAGGCCAAAGTGGATGGAGAACGACGGGACCAAATATGATTTCCTTTAGCCAGACACTTCTATTGAACTCCTGCTCGGAGAAAGGCCATTTGATAAAGAGCCTCTTTCAACGTCTTTCACTGTGCACCACCACTGGCTTTCTGCTATGGGGAGCCAGCTAGATTTCCTCATTTCCCTCCTTGCTTTCGCCACCAACTTGTTAATGGAGCTTCACTCCTCTCTGTGAGTCCTGTCAAATTCAAGTGGCCCCAGAGGAGTGTAGGATAGCAGCCTAAAGTCCCATTTCCAGTCAAACCACTGTGTTTAGGCTCCAGTCAGATGGCTTGGCCAGCACTGAGACCAAACAGACTGCAGAGTGAGTTGTGGTTCAGGCAGCCAGCCAGCTTTTCAGCCCCATTATGCTACTGCCTTCCTCAATACAGGGCATTCCAGATCTGTTGAACTACAGCTCCCATCAGCTTCAGCCAGCCTGGGAAATGGATGAGAAGGTGGGAGCTGTAGTCCTAAACATCTGGAGGGTCCCATGTTGGGGAAGACTGGATGATGGTTCCCAGGAGATCCCAGCCTGTCAACCAAACCCGTGACCCAGGAGGGAAGCACTGGACTTGCAACTGACTTATAACCCATCCCCAACCAAGTTATCTGCCACAGGAGTAGCAATACCAAAGGACGGTAACTATTTATTGATCAGTAAGTACCACTTAATCATTTTAATTAATAAGACAATGTATTTCCACATTTTCATTTCCTCTATTATTATTATAATTATATCCTGCCTTTTTTCCTCTTGTGAGAAACCCAAGTGGTTATCCCCTACTCCCCTTTGCCTTCACAGCAACCCCGTGAAGAAGGTGAGGCTGATTGTCAGTGACTGGCCCCAGTCGCTAGCGGGCGTCATTGGTGAGCAGGGCCTAGAACCCAGATCCCTGAGTCCCAGCCCAGCACTCTAACCCTTATACAACGCTGGCAATGTCACCCAATAGCTAGAGCACTCTGGGTGGTTTATAATGATTTAAATCCATTAAAACTATGTTGTGAAAACCATTTACATTGACACTGCCCACACACATATAGACACAGATAGATCTAAACAGTTTTAAGTGACCAGCACATTTCAATCTTAACTAAGCCTTCAGTCCCATGATCCACATCCATTGAAATTGGAAGAACTTGCTTAGAAAGAAATTTAGCTCTGGTTGCAATCCTTGGCCAAGACAAGTCTCCACTGAGACTTGGTCTTGAGTAGATTTGTTTAAGAATGCATCCTTAGAAAAGCCAACGCTCCCATGAACAGCAGTGCTTCACACTTATTTTAAGGAAAGTTGCTTCCAGTTGGGTTCACCTATCAGTTTAAAACTAAAATCCTATAGACACAAACTTATCTGCAGAAAAAACCCATTGAACACCACTTGGAACTCATTTTTCACAGAACTGCCCAGGATAGCCCTCCCAGGCAAAGTGTTTCAACATGGGACGGCAGGGGAGTACTAGGAATCAGAGAACTTTTTTCTGCCCAAATGTGAATAGGATTGTGAACTACAAAGTCCACCAGCAGATGGGTTCTTACGCTAGTTTCGACTAACAAGTGCAATGTGATTCCCCTTAAGGTGAATATATTCAGACTGGGGTGAGTCGAGGCTGTTCAGTCTTCATACACCATGGGTATATTCATGGCACAAAGGTCTCTTGCAGCCCAACAGCACACGCTTGCTCTGAAGGAAGCATGCATAGGAGCATAATTCCAAGAAAGGGAGCATTGCTGTGCCAAAACTATGTGTCTCATCTCAAATATGAGGTTAGGATTAGGGTTGAGCGGTGCCATTAGGTTCAGTGAGGCATATTCCCTGGAAACT